GTGTGCTCTTCCGATCTTAAATAATTCTCGCTATAATTGCAAGATTACTTTTTTCAGTGTAAAATATCTATCTTTCTTGAATTGAAAAACTATACACATTCATTTATATATTTACATACACATGTATCTTTATTATTTTTTTAATTCGCAAATGAGACGAATAAAATTTATTTTAACTGTGCCAGGAGGTTTCAACTATCGTTTAGAAATTAGTCACTGTTATCGTACTATTCGTTTCAAATCCATAGTATGGTTGACATTATGCTGATCTGCAGTAATCTCGTGTAATACGCATGTAAAACGGTGCCACGTGTAATCTCGTGCTATTCCCGGCGCGGGAGTGCGACGTAATCACGTGAGAGTGCTTCACGTCTTTATAATAAAGCGAATTGGATAAAGAGTCGGATTTACGAGTTGGAATTGCGTTAACGGCGGCCAGAAACGCGATATACATCGAGCGGCGGCGCTCTTCATTGTGCCGATGCTATTGTGTATATATCGCAACAGAGACCGGCGTTGCGTGCTTACATCGTGCGAGAAACTTCGTTAGGTGCATAAACGCATGAAAATAGAGTACTAATATTATTACACTGAGCATTACAGTCTTAACAACGTTCGTTGTTATCGTACTGAATAATAAAAAAAAAAAGCGAAAAAGAAATAGGAGCACGGAAAGAACAATTGCGCTGAATTCAGATCTGAAAGTAAGTTTTATTGAAAAGTCAAACTGATTGCTAGAACATCAAAACGTTTTATAGCAACGCTTATTATTTTTAACTTTCCAATAAAATTATTTTTATGGTCCTACAAGAATTATTTTCAGATCTGTATCCAGCAAAAATTTTAGATCCTCCAACAAAATCGTTCTTTCCGTGAGGAGAAACACTTTTTTTTTCATGTGAATTACAATTATAACACTGAAAAAAGTAATCTTGCAATTATTGCGAGAATTATTTAGTTATAAAAAATTAGCTAAAACGGATAAGTGATTAGTAAGCTCTGCGATACCACATGTTTTGTATTTAATATAGATAACAGAGACAGAAATTATATCTGAACTATTTCTCAAATTTAGTAAAGTTTTTTCTATGACGTTTAATCAGTCCAAACTCCAATTATATTTGATTATGAGGCCTATATTTTCTTGTATATATTCTTAGAATATTGCTGCTATAAATTCTACGTATGACAGACAATTTTTTAGCAGATACGAAAAACAGCGATATAATTTAAGTGTACTATTTAGAATTCTAGCTGGAACAGCGAAACATTTCCCTGAGTGAAGAATGTCACTCGTCTCTAAAATAGCGCGATAGAAATTTCGCACACGTGCAGTACGTACGATATTTAGTAGCAAAAACTTTAATCACATTATCACCTCATTTACATGCATTTACTGCTTGTCTCTCTCTCATCGTTAATTTTTGTTTTTATGTCGAAACACTTTAATACCGCTCGAGGGTACTCGAAACACACATCGCACAGTATTCACTGCATCGTGAAATCCAGGAAGGAATACTTATTTAACAGCACTGAGAGCACGTGATTTCACGGTGAGGTCGACGGCCCACAGTCGTCCTACGGTCTCATCTCGTATCGCAATCGATGATCTAGAGCGAACGTACAGGGAATTTCATTGAAAACCAGAGAGAACAAGCGATCGTCCCGAATCTCCCGTGATATGTGAAAACTCTGGGCGATCCAATATACCGTTTCAAACACGAGGACAGTACAATTACTCCACTATAAAGCGAACGGTCGAGGCCCAAACTTCTCTTTACTCGCCATCGTCGAGCGAACGAGACGCGTCTACCGTGCAGGCAATTGCAATAGTTCTCCTATGAATTTAACTTTGCGCCGCTCGTCGCCACATTTTGTATTCTCAAAGTCGGCGAAACCGTTTAATGCGAACGTTTAACGAGACATACCATTTAAATCGAGATGAATTATTAATTCTCACTTAAACGAAGAATTTTTGGAAAATATAAATGCTCTCTTGCATCTACTTTCTCGTACGCAAAATAGCGAAATTTAAAAAAATTACTTTTGAATAAAGAGTAACATGTTAATAAAAGTTAAGAAAATTTTATATTGAGCATGGAAATTTAAGAATAAATTTGGAACCTAAATTGAACTAATATTTTTCGCAATAATTTCTTCACAATATTTTAAAACGCATATTAAAAATTGAAGATCAATTTAATTGTGATCTCACTGTTCCAGCTTCAGCTTATGATTGCGTTACAAATCTGACACTAATTCGACGCGCAGTTTAAATAATGAACTTAGAATTCATATACAAATATTATTAGGCACCAAAATCCAGCCTCGATCATCAAAAGGCACTTTAAAATTTTTTGTAATATTCAACTTACGCGTCTAGTTTAATTTCCTATTGTTTACATGTTAAGAATAATCATAAATTGCATTATCAATATATATAGGCATTAAATAGGCAATATATAAGCATTATCAAAAGCTTTTTTGGAACTTTTTCCTTACAGAGAGGCAATTAATTAATACAAAATGGTAGCAAAGTCCTTTAATAAATAATATAAATCTTAATAAATAAAGAAATAAAGTAAGTTATTGAATTACGATCGTCCAGCGTCACATTAAAATGATATAGATTTTTCGCGGTTTTTTTTCATACTACACAGATATGTTTTTATATGCCAATCGAATTAAAATTTGATTATTTTAAGGAAAGAGTAAACGAGGAGTTCCTTTAACGATCGCGTTACCGTCTTTCCCCCGACCGTTAATGTGCAACGGCGAGGCTTGCACTTTAGGGACGGACATCGCGGCAACTTCCATCGTAAGCTCTTTGTACTTTCAAAAGTTCGAGCTCGGCCAGGACCGCCTACAAATTAGGTGTTATTAGGATTTACGCCGGAAAGTTATATCGGCCTCGAGCGTCGTGCTCTCACCGCCGGCTCGACGTCATTGCCGGGTTACACGTGCACCCTCTAAATGCGGAAAACATGAAAAGCTCATCCCGCTGACCATTACGACGACGGTTAATGACTTGAGAGAAGAATTATCTTCTCGTAACGAGATCACTGTCGATTTACACAAGCATATAATTGACGTGAACGAATAATTTTCTTTACAATTTTCCCCGCACGTACTCATTTCGATGAAACGTAAAAGTACATTTGCAAAATATTGTATTAAAAAAATTGCATCACTTCTTTTATATAAAATGCATTTTAAAATACATTTTATATAAAATACATTTTAAAATACATTTTAAATAAAGTACATTTTAAAATCTGAAAAAGACTCAATTAAGAATTGAGATCGGGGAAAGAAATGGAGAGGAATGGAAGCGGACGTCGCGCTACGAGCTCTCTTTCGACGGGCGTGTTATTTCGACTATTTCTTCGTCGTTAGAAGAAATACGGACGCGCGGGTGTCGATCGATAGCGCTCCGCTTTTATCGGGGAGGCTGCTGCCCTGAAGTTTTCGTTCGTGAGACTGAATACGGAATGACTCATCGCTTCGTGCGGTTTTACATCACGTCCTAATTCGGGCCACGTAAAGGAGAGCTTCGTTTTCACGTCACGGTGCTGCAGGGCTACCGCTCTCTCTCTCTCTCCGTTCTGCGCCGTGCACGTTCGTCACCGCTCCTCCATTACGCTTATCTCGCGAGTGCATTATGACGGAACCGATTGATGACGCCCGCGGAGTGCGTTGTCACATTTCTTGTCGCGTCGCGGAAAATATGGATGCTTTTAAGTGAACGCCGAGATATACGCGACGCCGAAAAACGACGCAATTTAAGAACTCGGATATGATAGGGACTGGAATAAGTGCTTTTGATAGCTCAGCATTCGCGTGTCTGATATAATTTTCGCAAAATCGAATGTATACCAATGATGTTCTCAAGTGTTGTTACTTTAATTTGCCGTATTTCGCAGTTCCACAGATTAAACGGCTCAAATATAAGATGGAATTAATTGTAAAGAAAATCATAAAGTACGAAAGTGGCGGTTGCGTGTATCTTCTATCTAAGAGAGAGACTTTATTTATCGTTGGAAAAAACTGAAGAAACTTACACGTAGACCAGCATGGGATACTTCGTGGCGCCGCTCAAGTCAGCACCGGGTGGTATCAGCAGCCTCACTTGGGCGTTAAAGCCACCGGGAACCGGGATTTTGTATCTGTGGACGATCGGCTGCGATCTTTCATCTATTATATCAGTTACTACCTTGTTGTCCTCCCACACGGAGAGCAACGTGGTATTCTGAAAGCAGAAAAGCAAGAAAAAAATTAATGAAGTTAATATTATTTCAATATTATCTGATATTATTTTTTAATCAACAAGTTAATTTAGTTACTTAAAATTGTCATCGGATATTGAAATTTTTTATGAAGAAATTAAAATTTCAACGGCAGAATTCGAAATCGCGAAAGCTCAAATCTAAAGCCAGAAAGATATTAACCGACGCCGGAGATGAATAGTTTAATAAATAACGAATTAAATGGATATTAATCTTATGCACTTTGAATTGCGGATTAACTATTGGGCCATTCATCATTTACGATATTCATCCGGCGTAATAGCAACACTATCTATCTTCTTCGAGGCACGATTTTTCTTCCCTCTTCGTTCCAGTTATGGACACCATCGATCGCTGGTCACTTCCTGATTCTGACGTCGTCATAATCGCGATAGGTTACACACCGCAGGGCGGTGAATAACATCGTCAACACACTCGGAGACACTCCCGCAAACTTGCGGGGGAAGTCGTGGGACCAGAAGAACGTTTAGCGGTTTGCCTTCCCCAAAGTACTTCGTAACTTCAATCGCACCCTCCGCCGCGGTTTGCCGGTCGGAATCGATTCGGTTCAAAGGGCAGCCACTTTCGCGGATAGTTGTTCGGAGTAGGTTTTTTTCCCTCCTCGACGCGTGACGGGAGAAAGGGTGGGGAGGGGAGGGGAGGGGTGGGGTGGCAAGAGGGTATTCGCGGTACATCCAGCGACAAAAAATTGCATTAGAAAAGTCGAACGGGCCAATGCTCGCGGAATCACGGCGCCGCCGACGATTTGCCCGCCGAAGTTCCCCCGCTCGGCGGTTTTTGCGACTGAGTTTACCCGCGCGAGTTCCGCGCGCCCGTCCGCCCGCCCGCCTCCTCTTCGAGAATCGGGGGTAAATGTAACGCGCAATCTGCGGCGCTTTTGTGCACCGAGCACTCGACGAGTTCAGTTCGCCGCCGGCCCGACGGGGGCGAATCTCGATTTTGCATCGCCGCGAACTTTTTCTCGGGAAGCGCCGCGCCGTGCTCGCACTCGGGATTCTGCACGTTACCGAAGTTTTCTTCGCGGAATGACAGGCGATCTGGTGAGATTTCCGGCTTTTGTGGGAATCTCGTGCCGATCGCGATATGACGCGGCGATATCGATTTTCGATCGAGAAGCGGATACACACACACACACACACACACGCACACGCACACGCACACACACACACACACACACACACACACACACACACACACACACACACACACACACACACACTACACACACACACACACACACACACACACACACACACACACATTTTTTCCCCCCTCGGTTCGCTGCACCAGATGTATATATACAGGACGGCCGCAAGTTCGCGTCATCGCGTATGCTCCGTGCGGCGGCGTACAAAGTTGATCAAGTTTTGAAGAGGCCAAAAAGCGACGAAGCACTTCTTATCCCGCAGCGTTAATTTTACAGTACATGTTTTAGCTCCCCGAGAGAGATGAAAAAAATAGAGATTCCTTCAATTTATCACTGAAACTAATTACCTTTTCTTTTTCTTCAGCTTGAGAAATCGCTTTCAAGTAAAATTTTATTTTAACCTTCCTGCAAACTATCAAACGACATAGCTGTTTAATGATAAATACTACAAATAATTTAGTGAAGAAGAATGCATAATTCTACATTCTCACTCAATTTATCGCGTACCTCTCTGAAAGCGCTCGATATTTCTTTTTTCTTTCCCGGACGCAGAGCAAGAGGGAAAAGTTCAAATAACGGTACGTAACTTATTTGAACTTTATTGTCACGGAAACTCAGTCACGAGTTAGAATCGCGTAGAATGTAACTGTATTTGCATATCGCAAATGACCGCGAGTTGGAGCCATTGTTAAATGGTTCACGAGAAAAAAAGAGGATCAGCTCCAAATGAGAAAAACCTCGCTGCGTAAATCATATATGGGAATTTTCCCCCATCATCGCGGGGAAAGGACGGGGGGGGGAGGGGGAGTTTCTTCGGGCGCGCACAGCGGAGAGCTAATAATGGCATGTCGGAAAGCGCGATCAATTGGCATCACTTTGAGCCTTTTGTAAATTTCGATAATAGTCCGTATTCATAATATCGACGTAATTGGATCGGCATGCAGGAGTGCCTCGTCAATCGCGTCGAAGCGCAACGAAGATTCGACAAAGGGATTCCAGAGGGGATTTTGTACGTGCCTGTTTGCGACTTCGCTGACGCACGTGCAATATTCGCGTGTAACAAAATCGCTCTATTAATCCTCGAAAAGGTGATATTAAAAACGTGCGGTTGTCCTGTAATCGCCACGTCGCTCCTTTTATGAAAAATTTTCACCGAGATACAATCTCTGCAAATCGTTGACGAATGTTTATAGGATTTCGTTTCGATTTGGAGGGGCCAAGAAAGTGAGCGTATAGTAATATATTTCGTGCAACTTATTATTGTTACAATACAAATATAAAAGTGAGTGAAATTCTTTCGAACGCGCTTTGTATAGATTATCTGTAATTATTCGACGACGGACTTTACGAAGCGAAAGAGAATTCGCGTTAATTAAAACGACCAAAGTCGCGAAGGAAAGCAAAACCCGATCCGCACGCCGCGCCGGTCTGAAAGCGTGAATTTCATCGACAAGGTCGCTCTTTAACGTAATTGAATTAACGCTCATTGTCGACGGGTTTCCCCGGGCGAGAAGACCAATTATCAGCATTAAGCGGCCGCGTGAAAATAAGCGATAAAGGCGCTGCGACGGGGGATAGTCAGATTTTCGCTCCGTTGATCGCGATAAAGCACGTGGATTCGTTCTCGACATTCTGCGTTAGGTGCCCTCGAAGTTCAACGAGTTCTTCACTTTTCCACTTCCTCCTCGTCGTCCGTCTGTCGGCTGCGGCAATCAGATTACAAAGCAGATAACCCGATGTAGATCGAGCGTATCCCGTACTATCGCGCCATGGTGAGTCGAGACGTTTCAAAATCCCGAAAGCAACATAATTTAAAGGCCCTAATACTTGTGTCGGCCGTGTTATAATATTTAACTATATTATTTTAGTACAATATATTTATATTTTGGCAAATTATTTTAGTAAATTTTATCATATATTATATTGTATATTATTATTTATTATATTATATAATTTAAATTTATGTGAATAAAGGACAAAGTAAGAACCTACACGGAAAGAACAATTTTGTTGAAAGGTTTAAAAATTTTGCTAAAAATAGATTTGAAAAAAATTTTTTGTTGAATTATCAAAATAATTTGTTGGAATGTTAAAGCTGACGAGCATTGCTATAAAACGTTTTAATATTCTAGCAATCGCTTTGACTTTCGTACAAAATTATTTTGATTATTGTACAAAAATTATTTTCAGATCTGGATTCAGCAAAATTGTTCTTTCCGTGTATCTATTTAAATCTGACGCGGAACAGAAAGTGCGGTACGTGAACTTTTATTTCTCGGCGGAGCAATTGTTGTTAATAATAATCCGCTGATTTAGATCTCTCTCGTATGTGAATAACCCGCCATCGTTCATGCCCGGCTTGCATTCCTCCTTTTCTCGCCCCGGCAATTTACGGGGCGCGCTCCGATCCGTCTGTCGTCATGGAAAGTCGACGGAGGAATTTGATTATCGAAAGTAATGAAACTTTCATCCGACCGCAAACTTTTTCTCCGAGGACGGCAGGCGCGCAGGTAGATTGGCGAATAAGCAAATGGACGGATAGATTATAGATAGACTTGGAAGGAGGGAAGAGAGGAAAATCGGTCCGAGGCGGAGTTCCTCCTTGACTGATATACTCAGGCTCTTGTGCCGAGTCATTCTAGATCGAAGTCTTTTTGACGAGAAAAAACAGTAGTGGCTATGGCTGTTGATCCTCGAAAGATGTATTTGTAATTTATTTTATATTCTTATTTCAGTCGATCGATTTAAAATTCGTGTAATTTTTATTTATTTATACGATTTTTGAAGTGAAGATTAAATTGTACTTCTTCTCGATAAAATTGTACTTCTTATTCCCATTTCTGCAATTAATAACTGCAAATTTAATATCTATATTTTTAATAAATTTTCATATTACTAAAATAAATAATAATTTTTACAAAATTTAAAAAACGTAATTAAAAAGAATTTAATAATTTAAAAAAGTAATAACATTAATTACTTCGCGGAAAAGGTTCTTAAATAAAGAAGCGAAATATGCTTAAAACGCCGTAACAAAACGTCGTAACACGCGCACTAATATGCTCGCTGCTACATAAATATGCTTTTGTCAGAGTTGAAAACGTTATAGTAATTAAAAGTCATAATGTTGGAATGAGAAATGAACGCTTGTATTAATGCGAGATAATCAAGTTTTATATGTACGTAGTTATATGAATAACGATTTCACGCTTTCACGGTTTTCACCGATGTTGGTTATCATTAATGAATTAAACCTGCTAATCGTAATTAATTAAATATGCTTTTATTTGTCGATAGTATGGTGAATGTTATAATTCGAAAAGAGGAAGAGGCAGTTTCGAATTGAGATTAAAATCACGTGTGACGCGAAATTATCGAAATTTCGTGCGAAAGGCTAAATTTTCCAGTTGAGATCCTTTAATGTTAAAATTATATATTTCGCCCATTACATAAATATGGATAAATTTTACTTTATTCTTTTTTAGTTTATCAAGAGACACTTTATGATGCGTTAAGATTTTCATCGATATATTCCTTATTCTGTAAATATCATACGATACAAAGATTTCAAAATAATATACAGGTTGGAACATGTTAAATAGCAGTATTGACATAAACACGAGTGATTATCGATTTCACTTTGCATGACGTGATTATAATACCGTGTTTTCAATGTGGGCATTATCGAAAATGTCACTATAAAAGCGATACCGAGATATAATTGCATTCTGATTGCATGTCACAAATTGTCACAACAATACTTTGTAAATAGAAAAGTTATGAAGTATAAATTAATATTAAAATGAAGAAGTAGGAGTTATGAAATAAATAGAAAAGTAATTACTAAGTAATTTCTATATCTGCTTATTTATCAAGAGGAGAATTTTGCGAATTCTGTCGTAATATTCAGATTTTACAGAATATTCGACAATCATTTTCCCTTATTTTTATAATATTTCGTTCAAACGATATGAAATGTATTTATAAACATTTGTATTTAACAGGTAAATCCGTTAGAGATTTAAGTAAAGTTATTCGATAAAGAGCGGCGCTGAATCCCTTTTTGACGATTGTTTCACTAAAGACCATGGCGCGACAAATTTCATTTCATTCTCTGCAACATTGTCCACTCTGTAAGTTATTAAATTTATACGCGACGCTTCTGAATCGTCGATTCCAGCCAGCGGCCGTTGTTGATTGCGCCATTTCTCTCAACGTGTTTTATTTACGTAGCGAAATTGGAAATTGATACAAAACGTGACTGGGTCGAAAACCGGTTGCAGGCAGACACGCGGTCAAACAGCGGCCAGCCGGGGCAAAATTTAGATAGTTTTGTAACACCGCCACACTTCAAAATATATGTACGATAGCAGCTCATTTTTCAATTATCAACGATTTAATCGCGGTAAAAGCTCACCTTTTTTTCATTTTGATGTTTCGTTTTTTTTTAACACATTTAATTACCATACAATTTTTAATTACTCCACCAAACGCAATTACACTTGCACGTCGAAATAATGATTTTTTTTTTCGTTCACGCGCTTAATTGTTCCCTTTTCCGCGTATATTCGAAAACAATACGGGAATACACGGAAAGCATATACGCGGCTTTAGGTAACGCATCGCCCCGGCCCGCTATCGCGCAGCCTCGCGTTGTATAACGCGCTTTTTACGAGGTCGCCAACAATGTCGCGATAATCTGCCTCGGTGGTGATTTCGATCTGATTAGGCCGAGCGAACGGGCGGGCGTATATCGCCGGCGCAATGTGTTTTGCGCGCGCGGGATTTCGAGGGACCGAGAGGCTTTGTTGTGCCGTTAGCCGAGCGAGAGCGCGCCGCGGTGCACAGGCCGCGCCGTGCTCGCTCGTATATTACTCGCGGCCGCGGCGGCGTGCAGCCGGGACTAAACCGTGGACGGCATAGAGTAGTACCTACTACTACTACTACTACTACTACTACTACTACTACCCGCGAGCGCGTATTCTATTGCTGTAACGAAATTTATTCGATTCAGTTGTCTGGTAGCGATCCACCGGCGGTTCATGTACCTCTACTAGCAGAATTACGCGGCTGTCATCCATACGTCTATACCGCATGCGAATACGTGTACGATACGAAAGATCATTGTTCCGCGGCTCGGATATAATATCGTGATTCGTAATGCAACGCGCGGAGCAAAAGGAATTTCACAGGATACATGCACGAGCTCTCCCTCCTTCTCTCTCTCTCTCTCTCTCTCTCTCTCTCGTTCTCTCGCTCTCGCTCTATTCGAAGGGGATTGAAATTTGTAGAAATCCGGGCCGCATACAACGTAATGATTGATGAAACCTATCAAACGCGCTGCGCGGCAATAACATTGCACTCAAAGCTGGAACTAGCACGGGAGAAGGCAGGAATATATACGAGATACCTGTTACGTTCCCTTGCCTGATGAAATTAGAGATCCAAATCTGATGGATTACGCTCATTATTTCGAATTTCGGATATTAATTGCTTCAAAGAGCTTCTATAGAATGTACACGTCTCTATGCAAATATATATATATATATATATATATATATATATATATAATACATAATTAAATTCTATGCCATTTTTCAAAGTTTTTAAACCCAACGCGTATATTTTATAGAAGAACAACCGCATATCGCCCTGCGTTTGGCATTGTTTCATTGTTGCTAAGTTTAATTTTATTTAATTTAATCCCTCAAAGATTTATTTCTTTTTTATTAAACGCGTCATCTATTTTCGCAATAACTTTATTAATGCAACGCTATAGCGACTGATTTTGATAACGTAAAAATCTTGTTTCTCCGCTTTCACTAAAATATTTCTTTTTAATTTTTCTAATTAGAAAATTTAAGTAGGAGAGCTTCTTCAAGATTTGAAACAATATTTACGAATTTTGGAAAAATTAAGAGCTGCGGGAAACGTAGAAGCGTCAGATAGATAGCTTACCTTATTGTAGATAGCTATATCGGGTACTCCGGGTCCGGCACAAGTGAGCACGTAATGCGAATTGTCAGTGGAGAATTTAGCGCTGTTGTACAAACAGCGGCTGCCGTCCTTCTCTCTGACAATGTTACAAGTCAAACACGTCGACTTGTGCCCCGGATCCAGCAGCGGCACTCTGTACAAATGCTGAACCGCCGACTCGCGTTCCGAAGTGGCCAAGTAGTACCTGTAACAAGGACAAGTACATTTTCCCTCGATAAGTAATTCTGTACGATCAAGTTATTGCCTTCAAAAGTCTGACGTGCGATAGATTTTTTCTGCCGACTGTACGTGTTTTTTTTTTTTTTTTTTCGAAATTTCTTCTTTACTCTCTCGGAACTGCAGCGCGCGCGATCAATCACGGATATGTAATTTTTATTTCGCGCGATGCAATGAACTGGATGCGAGAATCGGGATCGTCGCGTTAAAACGTACGTGCACAAGCGCGCGGCGGCGAAAATATCGCCTGGCGTCCCGGAATATCCGCGTCGGCCGTGCAGCAAGCGTCGCGCCGACACATTACCGCTAAGAAATTAGGTTCTTCGGTATTCTGCATCACGGGACATGGAGAACACCTGTTGCGACACGCGGCAAGATACGCGATAAAGGGACCGCCGGCGAAGACAAATTGTCCACTAAGCAGCTCGATGCTATACTTCGCCGGGAATCCGTCCGTCCCGGCGCGGTATATATTTAGCCGCGGCTATTATATCTCGTGTCTTGCTAATTCCCTCCCCTCCCCACCCCTCGCCCCCTTCGACCGTCGCCAGATGTTCTCCGGACAGTCCATCAGCGCGGAATACGAACGGCGCTGTGCACCGCCCGCTAAACAGAAGTGCACACAATTTCCATATGGACCGCGCGCTTGTCATCGGGGAGACCCGGCGGTGCCGCGATTTATTGAGAGTCTCCCCCGTTCTGGGCCATCAAGCGGCTACGTCAGCAGAATGCGGCCCATTAGATACAATCAGAAAGCTGATGGTGTAAATTGCGGCCATTGACTGTCCGCCGGCTTGCGCCCGTACCTGTGTGCCGCTGATACCATCACGCATTAATCAGATCTATTGTTCTCAGCCGGGCTCCCGACGGGGTCGGGAGCCGCCTTCAGGGTGCAAGGGGGATGCATTACGTAAAGTACCTATCTTTTTCTTTCAAAAACCGAGTGCCTTTGCGCCGCAACTAAAGTATGGAGTCATTTCTAGCCGGGATAAAGGGAGGATCACATCAAGCCGACGCTTTTAAAGTAACTCGCGAGAGAATCGTTTTCTCTTGCTACTTACTTTATAATTGTAATTTTGATCCGAGAGGATTTATTTGTAATTAATAAAATTATTTAGTGATTTTTTAGTGAAAAAACGAAAAGAGCGATAAGTAATTTTTAGATACAATCCGTCCAGAGGATTTTCAGTAAAATATTTCAGATTGTATTTCCTGTTTTATTTCTGACGAATAAATTATAATAATATAATCATATGTAAAAAGAAACTTGATTATCTTTTTTATTTTTCAAGATCTTTAAAACTTAATATCGTAGAATAAGATGCTATTTTAAAGTAAAACATTTTAAGAAATTTACGTAATAATATTTAATTTATGTAATAATATTAATTTTTTAGTAAATAAATAGAGAAGACGTTTAATTAACATATAGATGCAAATGTGTAATTTTTGACAAAAAATAAGTATATATATTTTTTAATAATTTAATTATCGTTGATGATATATGTGTATGTTAGTTTTAAATTAGTGTTTAATTACATTCGTATGTTAGCGTAATATTAGCATAACTACTGCTTGATGCAACCAAACTTATGCTGTTTGTTTGAAGATTCCCTGCATCTTATCTATGCGTATGCAAATTGCAGCGCTCAGTAATGCAGCATTGCGAATGGAATTGCCAGACGTGGTCTGAAAACTTGTAGAATTCGTAACGCTTACGCTAACGATCGCCGCACATCGATCAGCAGCGCTGTGGTTTCTAAATTTTTTAAATAACAAATCCTCGAGATAAATTTAGAATCGAAATTTTTTTTAAGAAAATTGTTTTCTAAAAATTTTACGAAAACTACGTGATTGAATTACATGAATTAATGTTTCAGATAATGACGTAATGTTTCTGTTCTTAAATATCTCTGCAATTATAAGCGAGCGTTTTTTTAAAGTAAATACTGGAGAAAAAAAGGTTGCAATTATTATAATTTAATTATAATGTATAGTCATTTTCGGCGCCAACTATATATATGGATGTAAATAAATATAATTATTATTACTCTCTAAAATTCAATTCTCTTTCAGTGATATTCACTGTTTGAATCATATATTATACTGAAACAACATTGAATACTCCACTCTGTTTATCACTGCAGTTATAAGTACAGAGAATCAATGGTGATTATATACTGATTCAATTTTAGAGAGTACTAAAGTTATAGGAATAATAACTATCAAAATGAGGCTCATAACCATAATTACTTTACCATGCAATTATAGTAGCAAATACCAAACACTTTTCTCTCTCAGTGAGGGGAATAATTTGAAAAGTTATGTGCTACCTTCCAATTTTCCTTTCATTCCGCGGCGTACCTATATATGAGAAAGTATTCTGTATATATGAGATTATTAAATATTTGACGATATATATATGTATATATAAGGTCTTCGAAGGATCGAAGATATATGGAGGATCAAGGGCGCGTTCGTGTATTCTCTACCGCTCGCGTAAACCAGAGAGGGTAGTCTAGAGCGAACACGATAAGTCGCCGGCAGTTCCGCCGGACTGGTAAGATAGATGACTCGGGGTTATTTAGAATGGATTAATTCGAGCATCCTGTTAATTTAGCCTATCGCATCAATCTTGAACGACCTCGGGGCCTCGCCGCCGTCATTCTACCGCGCCGCGTATATATATATATTCGAGAATTGCAACTTTCGGCGGCTCCGACATCGCACGCGCGCGCACCTTTCTTCGAAAATGAAGATCGATCGATTTCAAGCAAGTCAGCGGTACCGAGCGGAGGGCATCCGGGGGGGAGGGGGAGATGACCCTCGAGACTCCGCTTGGCAGCCGATACCTCATTGTCATAATCGGAGAGGATGATAACGTGTTATGCGTCGGATCAAATTCCGAACGGACTATGCGGTATTCAGAGATATGTTGCCTATTTATGGCGAATTAGAGATTGTTCGTAATCGAAGGAATTCGGGAAACGATCTGCGAAAAGCAGGAATCCGCTGAATTTTGCATGAATTTTACGTGTGAAAGCAGGGTCCTCGAATAGCCTCGAATCGAATGATATCTTCAATTTAGAACTTTCTAATCAAACTCGCGATTTTGATATTTTTTTTATTTGAGATTTTTTCGGTGTATGTAAATAAGTGCTGTAATTACGTCGCGAATTATATCAAAATAAATCACGAAGTAGAGGAGAGTTGCCAAATGCGTACCGGTCTCATAAAGCGTACCTCTTCAATATTTTATAGTTCCACTTAACATTTAGTAACAAAAATATGAAGTAAATAAGAAATGTGTAAGATAGACAAAAAATGAACAGGTTACATCTTATTTTGTTCATGCTATCAACATTTTAAAAAATCAGATACAATTGATGTAAATTTTTGATCAATTTATATATCTGATACTAATGTAACCATGCAATTTTTAATTGAATCGTTATTTTTTCCTAAAAGAAAGTTTATGAAAGCATATTTTACATTCATTGTATATATGTCGCAGGCTTTTTGTATAATCAGCCTTTTTACAAAACGACGCCTTTTTGGATAACGCCAAGAAATATATGGTTTGGATTAAATCATTTATTGCAAACATTCATTGCAAACCCATGTGGATCACTGGCTTTGCGTTGTAAAGTACATGTGTGGAGGCAGTATGTTGAGCCCCCCCCCTACGGGGGGGCACCGTCCAGCTAACCTAACCCAAACCATTTTCGAAGGCGTTATGCAAAAAGGCGTCTTTTTGCAAAGAGGCTAACCTTTTTGCAAAAAGGCTGATTATACAAAAAGGCTGCAACATATACATATTTACAATTATTATAAAAATTATATCAATATTTTTATCATCTCTGTCCAGTTTTCTAAATCGTACCTAACGAGCATAAGAGTTCTTATATCGTATCGGTACAATTTAGGAACACTAATGTATCTTTATCTTTAGATCATATGACACAATCAACATTTATTTTAACACGATCGAAGTTGTTCTGTAGCAAGTCTGTAGAGGAAAAAACTGTCATCGGGTTGCGTAAGCAAAATAGCTATTGTTTGATAAATTACAACTAAAGTAGATATTAATTCATGATTCTTTTATCAATCTTGTGTTTTTAATTATTTTCATTCATAAATTCAATAGTTTAGACTTTAGAAGAAGGTACTATTAATGAAATTCACAGGTACGATTTAGGCGACCGGTTTGCTGAATCGTGCTTTTGACAGCATGTTGCAAAAAAGCTTAGAACAAATTAATTTGCTATTAGTGAAAGATTTAACATGTAATATTAGATGCCTTGAACATCAAGCTACAATTTCCAACGTTCGTTTGCATTCTAAATAATACCAAATGTAAAATATAACCAAAAATATCTTTAGTGGTCTACGCATTCGGCAACTCTCCCCTAACATCTGTTACGCTTACCATCAATTAATTAACCAGTTGCGTAATTCGTCAGGAGACCTTTTTTTTAATAAAAAAAGCTATACGAAGCAAAAGAGAGAATTCTGATGATTTAATTGAACGAAATTGGCTCGTCCCGCCTGGTCGAGTCGGATAACCGATAAGAGTAATTTTTCTTTTCTTCTTGGTAGAGCCCGTCCTCCTCCTCCCGCCCCTCCACCGCCCGCCAACCTGATGCATTACTAGAATTGATCCCCGGTACATTAGTTATTGCGAGTGATATATATCCGCTGCTGTGCCATTTAATTACGGACTTGCAGCTCGGAGCGCCGCGCGCCCGGATATAGCGCGTTCGGCCTTTTGAGCGCGGTAAGTGTTCCGTAAGGAAATTAATCAGCGAATCCATCGTGCCCGTGGGGGCTGATAAATACAAACTCTCTCCGAGTGCGTGCCAGTTTTGTTTTGCAACGCTCGCGGGGTATCAGCAGATACCACCCGCTCCTACGAACTCGCATTCGCGGCGCGCGCGACTTCGCGCAGCTGCCGATTCGCCAAGTTCC